AGCCAGTACAAGCATTCAGCAAATGAATGTAAAAGTATCACATTTCCTTGTACTGTATTTCCTTGTACTGGTTCTAGGTCAAAAAAAAAAAAAATGTATGCCAAAACATCAGGGCAAGCAGACAACTAGCATTTCTGGTTCAGGATAGAATCAGAGTAAAGGTTGGAACCAGTGCGTGAGAGAGTCCTTTGTATAAGGCCTTGCTCTCTTTGCTGGGAGCTTTGCATTGAAAGGCAATGCAAAGCTCCCAGCACAGCGACCTCCATACTGCTGGCAGGTATCACTACATGCGGAAATCTATCATTTCATCTCCAACCCCACTACAGATGTCAGGGGAGCCCATGTTTCCATTTCTGAAAGAATGACACAAAACTTCAGTTTACAAATTCATCGGATTTATTATTTCTGATATTGTTACTAGAATGGCATTGTTTCATACAAAGCATTTAAAAACAGTTTATTTCATGAACCTAAAAATTAATATACAAGACTACAAAGGACAAAGCTTCTTAGATTATTTACAGAACTGTAGTTTCCATTTATTGTAGTAAAACAAACTGCTCAGAGTTTATACCCTGAATAGAGGTAAAGTAACAAAACATTTTCATATACATTACTTTTCTAAACCATTGTGAACATAAAAAATGAACAGTGTTGTGCGTCATTAACACCTGCAATGGGAGAATAGTAATACTACTACTGCTACTGTTGATCAGTTGCACGTTCAGTTTATTCTAACAGTATGAACTAGTCTGATCACAAGTTTTTGGGGCATGCTGGTCCCTTTTCCAAGTATTGTTTAACATATCAGAAACTGTACGTGCTAGTCTGTGGTACAGTTGGTTGCACTTCCTGCACTGATAATGGAAATGTGTATTTGAGCTGTGCTGCCGCTTTACAGACCTATGTCCTAGTGTATTATATGAGCCATGACCCAGAGTTGCAAATACATATCCCCTGCTCCAGACTTAAAACTCCCAACCTTTGTAGATCCCACTTCAGCCAACAACATACCCACCTCATTACCTACTAAATCTCATCACCCTCATAACCTCTTATCCACATCTAACCCCTCTTCCCCCACACACACACACACACTTCTATAACACCCTCTACTTTGAACAGCAGAGGTGATATAACAACACATTTGCACAAGGTAAGAGTGTTTAAATATGGCTAGGTAGACCATACAGTCCCCTCAAAAAATTAGGGTATTGATTGCAAACACAACTTCTAGGTTTCTAGGCCACTGTGGAAGGAGGATGTCATTACAAAGATGTTGTGCAAAAGTGATAGAAAAATCGGTGAAAAGGGTGTTCAGCTGGTCAGAGATATCAGAAAACTGCAAGATGTGCTGGCATGATCTGTTTGTCGATCTAAAACATGGAGGGCGTGGGGGAGTCGCAAGCAGGCACCACTTTCTCAATCACATCTTAGAGGAGACGACAGCAAGCCAAGATTTTCTAACTCATATGATTACTATATCTCCAAAAAGGTTCCAGCAGGCCTGTCTGTGAACACCAACCACCTGATCCAGCCAAAAACAGCTGAATTGGATGGCCAACATATCATGCCTATGGGTATCTTCAGCATCATCAACTACAATTATTCGGATGACTAGCCTGCACCAAAAATATGACATCTTGAATTTTGTTGGCTTCCATGAGCAGATTCCTTTCTTTCCCGATTAAGTTAACTAATGTAATTTCAATTAAATTCATGGATTAAATTAATCATCGAGAAACTGGAACAAGCATGCTTGTGATGGCAAATAATCTTGACAGCAATCAGCCAGATGTGATTTTCATTTTCTAAGCTATACTATAGGCAGAGACTGATGAGAAGAATCAAATATTCTTAGTAAACAGTTACATAATTGACAGTTAAAATTGTCATTCCTACAAGTCATTATAAAAGATTTTATACAGTACCATTATATTCACAGTTTGAGCAAAAATCAGGATATTGGTTTAAAATGAGGGACTGTCAAAATCACAGATAGAATCGATGAGCCCTTGACATGTTTTCCTGGAATGGGGAAGCGGCTCACAGTGTAAGTCTAAGAACACTGCCGTATCGCTAAGACATAGAACCAGAGAAAGCTCCTGCTTGCTGCATTGTGGGAAATTAGCTGTGACATGCCAAGAAAGAGAGATCACACACAGGAGCCATAATAAAAACTGGTGCCCTGGAATCTAGGCACAAGAGGCGCAGAGACCTCATAAACAATAAAAGCTATTTTACAGGAGGGATAGAGTTTTTCTAAAAATTAAAATGTTGCCATCTGACCATGATATGCAGTGGCGTCACAAGGGGGGTGCGGCCCGCACCTGGGTGACACCAAAATGCCTCTAAAAAGTCGGGCACTCGGTCATGGACCGAGAGCCCAACAGTGTGTCAGGTGAGAGGAGGGGACCCGGCGGCATAACTCATCCCGCCTGTTGAACGACCCCTCCTCTCTCTGGCGGCGTCCATCATCAAGATGGCTGCCGGCAGGCGTCAATTAGATGACCGCGCATGCGCGATTAAGTCACGCGTATTCGCGATGACGTCACTGCAGAGTGTCACCTGGCCGCGGGACGCCCCTGATGATATGTATACATCATTGTTAGCGTGGCCCTTTTCCATTCAACAAATTGCCTTTCCATTTTTATGATTACACGTCACCTTGTAAAAGATTGTAATTCATGTCATGCTAATTACGCCTCTTAAAAGGCTATCACAAATAAAACAATTCCATGTACAAAAACTATACACAGTCTCAGAAGTCTCCATCAAAAAGATTTAAAATATTTTTAGTAATCGAAATATTCTACATTATAATTTCATTTAAAGTTTATGAAAATAGAAACGTTTGGTTTACAACAGCATCACTGGAGGTTTGATCCCGTAGATGCACTACGATTTATTTGATAACACAACTCAGTAGCTCATAGTAGTCAACCTTTAGTCTAATGAAGTTCTATTTCTGATTGGTTGTTCTGGATTTACGGAATTTCATGACTCAATAAAAAAAAACACTGCTTGTTTGGTAAGGTCATGCAAAGCTTAAGCTGGCCATACACCAGTACAATTTCCTCCAAAAAATGTCAATTTCAGAATGTTTGTTTGGTTTTCTAATAGCTAAATCCTTTTTGTTGGCTTTAGTCCTCTTCTGGGTCACAGGAATACATGTACTAATGTCCTCCTGTGACCCAAAGTCAGCATCTAATAGGCTACAGCCTGCTATTTGCTGACCATGCAAAGCCACGCTGCAGCTGGGAAAGATCCCAACAATATTGTCAGCATCCACCCCGCTGCTGGTTGACAGCTGGCTCTGCCTCTCTAGAGCCAGATGTGCCTGCCCCAATGAGCGCTGGAGGAAAAAAAAGGGGAGGGGGAATCCCTGTGAGGACGAATGAAGGACAGTCAACACTCTGCAGGGAGAAGACCATGAGCTGAGCTTTCAGTGGTCAGTGATCGCTCAGCTCTCGATCTATAGAGCCGGTGTCTCTAAGTATTGGAAAGCATTAATTTTGCTCTCCCAATACCTCTCCTTTAATAGGGTCAAATCAACAATCAATTTAAACTGTAGTGATGAAAAAAAATGAATGAGCAGGATGGAAACTTTTTCTTGTACAATAAAAATTCTACCAGTGAATGTGGTTTTCAATCATTTCTGAAATTGAATGTTAAAATCAAACTACATTTTGAAGGACATTCTACAAGTCTCTGATGGCATCATTAAACGTTCTGATGAGCTTTTTCACATTAACGTTCATACAAAAATCCACCCGTCTTTGGCCAGCTTCAGAGAGCTAAGTGCCGGAAACCATGTTTGCTTTCCTGATCTGATTCAGTAAATAGAGGCATGATTGCTTGCTACTGGATTTTTGAAAGTTTGCACATCGTCATTACACTTTGTACATCTTCATTGTATTTTCTGCTGCTTTAGCTGCACAGTGAGCAGTGGAGACATATGCCATGTTAAGTAGCCCATACCAACCAATCATATTTCCCTTTACTGTATTATTTAAACAACATCTTCTGAATGGCTGCTGAGCTACTGCACCAAAATAGCCCTGAAAGTATTTTCATTATGGTTAAAATATAACTAAAGGCAAAACTTCAATTTTAAGTTTGAAGAGTAGAGAGATGCTAGAACCACTGTGAGGTTTATATCACTGTCTATGTCCCCAATGGGAAGACTCACTCGCTCTAATTGTCTTGATGACCAATAGCACCAGGAATGAAAGTGAAGGTCAATACAAAAGACTCAGTTGCCACCAGAACAGAAAGAGTGGAAATCTTACTATGGGGACACTTGTTCTTGTGACAACTAAGAGTGGATATTTCTGACATTGGAAAGTTATCCTCACTTCCTGTTGCGTATCCAGGACAGGAAGTGAAAAAATATCCCAAGCATAGATGGCAGAAAAAAAAAAGCCTGACAGTGATTTTTAACCCTTCTCTGCTCTGTCTAAATAAAAAACATGTTTTGCCTTTAGATATGCTTTAATAAATACTGCACCCAAGTATATGATCAGTGTTTAATATCATGTACAGATTTTTTGTATGACACATATTGTGTTAACTGTCTGTATTATAACATATTCATCCGATCTTGAGGGCTATCAAAGTTAGATTATTTTTTACATTTAACTTTCAAAGGTTCTGAACAGCACACTTGTTCCCCAACCCGGAAAACGGACATAAAATATGTCTCCCAATGCCAAGTTAAAGAGATCATATCTGGTTATGTTTGCTAAAATAGTTAATACGCAAAGACAATAAAATGTAAGATTTCTGTACAGTTAATATAAAAAGTAACATTTCCAAGTGTTAAAGAAATGCATTATGTAGATGGGTTAAGAACAGGTCTGCCTAGAACTGTACCTGAAAACCACATAGAGTGGGGACAGACATCTGGTGGGCGAGGGGGCAATTTTGAGAATGTAGCCTTTCAGTGTACTACGAAAATTTGCACTGATATCATGAGCTTCTAGGAAACGACGAGGGCTGTCTAATAATGGCCGCCTTTCCATCTGCCACAACAGAGAGCACTTTAAAAGCACCACAGCTATATAAAAGCACTACTCATTCTGTAAAACCATATGAAAACATAGTATTTAAAAAAAATAATTAAAAAATGCTATTAAAATAGATTTATCCTCATCTGAAAAGGTCAGTACTGGAAAGATGTGAGGTTTTGGTCAGGTTTTGCTAATAAATATCTAGTGTTCCAACAATGTTCAGACATGTGTCCTTGTAAAAATTATAAAGGAAGAAATGGAAATCTATACACTATGAGGGATTTGAAATACTGATGACTATTCTATGCCTCTCAATTGTTAGTGAATGGAAGAATTTGCTTTGTCTGAAATGCTCTCAAGCTACTGCCAGCCACGTTGTGGCAATCCCGGCTGAAGAGGAAAGGGCATTCCAGGTCCAGTAGGGAAACCAGCGAAGGCATCTGCTTGTGCTGAGAATCCTTCCAAAGAAGCTGAATGTGCCTGGAGAAAGAGATAATACAGACACTTTTTACATGATGAGTACTTAACAGATAATATAGCCGCTGACAAAGCTAATGGACTTAAGGCTGAACGCCAGATAGAATACATACAGTGTATATATAAAAATTATTTGCTACTCCTGCCAAAGGATTTGTATTTCTTTCCATCCATTTCTGAGATTTCTCAGCTCTGACCCAAACAGTACAATCCTTTATGACAGGACAACGTGATTCAGTACAACACTTACAGGTCTCCTTTTTCACTCCCTGTGAATGGACAGTAAAAGGAGAAGCAACAGAATGATGGGATCATCTTTCTCTCATTCTGCGCTCTCCTCCTAGAAGCCTGTCTCTTATTAGAACATAAACACTATAGCACAACTGATTTGCTTCTTTTCCCTCCCCATTCTGATTCCTGCTGTACAGGGGACTGCAAAAGGTTGATATCAACCAAAATTCAGGTACTTACACAGCTTGCATTTAAAAAATACACTGCATAGCCCCCCAAAAAAGTCACTACCTGGATTTAGCTAAGCAATTAAGAGCCTTCCATTTGATAAGTGTAATGATCTGGGGTGGTTTAGTTGGTCAGATCTAGGTTCAGCAATGGTATGTCCCCAAAAAATGAGGTCAGCTGCCAACCTGAATATACTGAATGACCAGGGATTTCAAAAGATTTTCAATGGATTTTTTCCTCCATGATGGCACAGACATATTCCAAGATGACAATGCCAGGACTAAGCGGGCCCAAGTTGTGAAAGAGTGGTACAGGGAGCATGAGACTTAATTTTCACACATGGATTGGCCACAACAGAGTCCAGACCTTAACACCATTGAGAATCTTTAGGATGTGCTAGAGAAGACTTAACACAGTGGTCCAACTCTCCCATCATCACTTTCCTAGGATCTTGGGGAAAAATTAATGTAACTCTGGATGGAAATAAATGTTGTGACATTGCATAAGCTCATCAGCTTATCGCCACAGCAAATGCATGCCGTAATCAAAGCTAAAGGTGATCATACGTGTGTGAGTGTAGAGTGTGTGACCTTTTTTGTCTGGCCAGGCAATGTACATTTAGGGATGTACTTTTGAATATAGTGGTGCAGACATTTGTGTATTTTATAAATAGTTATAAGTTTGAGTAGAATTGTCATCTTATAGCACTTCAGAAAAGTAGCAGCAACGGTCCACGTATGGTGGTACAGGGGCTAAAATAAGCAATAGACTACCTGTAACAATGCTGTCTGAGCTGCTGCAGCAGCAGCTGCGCTCTGCTGATATCCTTGAAGGGATTGAGCGGGACTTTGCGGAAAACCAGGAAGACCAGAGAGAGAAAGAAGAGGAAATGCTGACGGCCTATGGAAATACAATCAACAAAAACATTGGTTACATAAATTATAACTGGTGTGTGATGAATCCTTTTCGATTTATTAATAGAATCTGATACTTGTGCACCAGGACCAGCACATCCTAGATATTACACAACCAAATAAATTGTGAACGTAATGTATGCGGGAAGATCTTCCAATGAATATGATCTTTTAGATCATATAAGCCCTCACGGGCAGGGCCCTCCTTACCATCTTGTCTTATTGTGATTGTAATGTCTTCCTTATATTGTAAAACGCTGAGCAAACTGTTGGTGCTATTTAAATCCTGTATCAAAATAATAATAACAATAATAAGTGACTTAAAAACGGTCCTTCCTCGCTCTAAACTCCACCAGGTTTCACAACTGTCAGATATGTAGTTACACAAACATTCCTTTCACACAGGCGGTCCGATAGGATCTGCAGTCAGTTTTTCAGGTGGACCCAGTTGGATGCTCAATACAAGTCTGTGGTCATCCGTGTGTAAACGGACAGACATCCATTTACACCCGGCTACCCCCAACTGCGGCCAGGCCGGGAAAAACAAACAGATCAGAGATCTGTTTCGCTGGACCCGATAGTGCCAGGCCAGGGCTAATCTGATGTAACGAGACACATGTCCATGTCCATCCGATTCCCCATAGACAGACATAGAGGGACATGGGAAAAAAATTTTTTATAGTAAGTTTGGCCATCCTTAACCCTTTCGCTGTTAAGCCCTCCGGCTTTACACCTCAGCTGGCGGCGCCATTTTCCTGGTAGAACAAAAAGATGGTGCTACTTATTTTGTAAGTCCTGCGATAATTGCCCAAATGTTAATCAAATTAATATTAAACCGATAAAAATACACAATTCAATTGATAAAGCACTAAAATCAGTATCAGTGCACAAACAAAAATACTTTTCCGACTAAATCTAAAAGATAAAACTGTATTGAGTTAATAAATAACAAATATTTTAACATTTTGAATTGCGCCTTTTGTGAAACTGTGAAAATGAAGTAACGCAAAACTGTGAATAAGCGACTTATGTAAAAAATCATTGTGCGCTGTGTTGGTGTTTGTGTTGTGATAAAATGATACAGGCGTATATTTCATCACAACAAAGTGTATTACAATGCACAGCAATGCATCACAATGCATTGCCATACGCTGCCACACAGTTAAATTAATGTTATTTAAAAATGGAAAATATTTTTTTTTTTTTAAATCAAGCACTGTGATGCGTTATAACAACGCACTGCAGCGCATGTGCATGGCGATGAAAAAGAAATTGAGAATTTTTTTATGGAAAGCACTCAGTACAGAGGCTTCCTAGCCATAACTGGTGATGGTAAACATTTACTATCATCCAGTTTATGAAAGGGTAGAAGCTTCATCCCCATTGAGAAACCCATGAATGAACAGGAAGTGATGTAAAGCACTTCCTGTTCATTCATAACTGGGGACACAGTACTATATGTCCCCAGTTGTTTACAAACATTGGAGTGATTAGCTGATCACTCCAGTGTTTGCGCTGCACACAGAGGATTGGTAAATATTACATATAATTACCTCCCTGCTCTCCATCCTGACCCGCTCGGCACGCACGATCACAGAGCTGCCAGGGTTTGACAGCCGGTGGCTCTGAACTGATGACTGCTTGTCCATCCTGATCTTGCAGATCACTCCTCAGACCCCCCCCCCCC